TTTTTGCCAATTTTGGTCTACCAGCTAAGCAGATCAGTGGAACATTGTTCACAGAAGGCCACATACATGTACAGGGAACATTGACCTAGAAGCTGGATGGAGATGGGATGTAAAAATGCCGTGTGCTAACCTGCATCCGTTGAGGCTGATGGGATTTTTGCCTAGGTTCTATAGAAACAGGAACTGCTTCTCAACATAAGCTTGGCATCTCTTTCTTCAGTGCCTTCGAGAGCTAAGATGAGTCCTGAGACCAGTTTGTAAACATAATTTCATTTTGCGTTCCTATCAATTTCCTCTAATGATTTTCTGCTGCCTTGGAAACCAGATGTGTATTCCACAGCTACATGGAAAAATGCTAAACATTTTTCAGTGGGAAATTTGAGATGCAGATAATTAAACTTGATCCAGGAAGCCAAGGCAACTTCACTGATTGAAAAGCTATTTCTGGTCCCAATGGCTCTCCTGACATTCTCTGTTTCCACATGGCTTTCCTCACTGATGGCGGTTGTTAGCTGTGACCTGAAGGTGTTGAATGGAGGTGATGTCCCAGATAATCGAGTTCCCAAGGAGAAGAGAAGGATTGTCAAGTGACCAGGGCACTGGTGAGGGCTCTATGCCTGCTTTCTCCTTGGTCAAAACCTTGCATTTGGAAAACATGTCCAAGAAATAGAGGAGTTCCAGCTCCACCATGGAGCCTGCTGAGGAAAAATACTGGTTTTTTGCATCACTAATTGTCTCTCTTCTGCAATCTCAGCAGAAAAAAAATTAGGTTTTTTTAGGAGATAGGCCCCTCTATCATAAAAGAAAAGCACTTTTCTACCTGTTGCCACTGCTTCTGCTGCAACCCAGAAGAGGCCTTTCCTCCAGTCCTGCTTATGCCGGGTTTGTAGAAGGCAGTAATCTTGTTTGTTTCCTCTATGCATCTTTAATATCTGCACTTTTTTTAGAACCTTTCAGATGAGATGGATCACTAAATTTGCAAGGGGCATGTTCGACATCTGAGGAGGAAGATGCTGAAACAGGTATGGCTTATATGTATGTGCAGCTCGTCATGTACTCATGGTGTGCACCTGACATCTGTTGTGACAGGAGCTGGTGGAGCAGCTCTGGTCCCGTTTGAGCAGCATGGCACTCTAAAGGAAAATCAGACGTGCTTGGATTTCAAGTGAGTTTGTCAGACCAGAAAAACTCCCAAATACTTTAAGGACAACATTGAGGGATAAATCACATATAGGCATAGTGACATTTTGTGGTATGTATTAGAACAATAGATATCTCACTGACTGCAGGAAATTCCTTAAGGCTTTTCTGCATATGGAGCAACACTATTTGACTGTCACCCTCTGTGTACTAACATTGTGCGAGCAACAGAGAAGAGCCTAGACTGATGTGTGTCTGAAGAAGGAAAGCAGTCAACTGTTGAACTGTAAATCAGCATTTTTCTACTACAATTAATTTCTCACTGGGGATTGTCGGATCAAAACTGCTAATCAAAGCAACTTGTCAAGTAAACATTGGAATTAATGAACCCTGGTTTTCAGTGGATTGATATTCTACACTCCTACACCATGCCACAAAAAGATTAACTCCTCTGCAAGTTTTTTCAACCTCTTGGATCCTGGTATGGCCAGTTCCTCCACTCATGTCCCCTGCGCTGAAAGCTAGGTAAGGGCACTAACAAATGGGACCAGTGCAACAGCACTACAGGCCATCCTCCCCCAGTGAGGAATTTAATAGATTCCTTCTAATTTTACCACCCAGTGATCTTTATGGTGTTTTTAAATAATTGATATTTCTGAGCCTAGTATACCCCATCATGCTGGCCAATAGACTTGTAAAAAGGAAAAAGCATATCTGTGCATCTTATTTTCTAAGGAAATATGGTTGAAAAACCATGCTCCACATAAACAATGTGAATTGCAGTTTAGAAGATTTCTTGGTGTTAGATATCCTAATTTCTTATCAAGTACTTCTGCTGAATTCAGTTGTTTCTACACACTCCCTATCATGTCACCTATTTTAATTGTAGCATTACATTGCTGTAAAAATGCTTCATTCTTGAAATGAAGGAATAGGTGTTGATACTTTAAAATTCTTTCACCATTATATTTTGTGCTTGCCTCCTCATCCCATGGTAGAGAAAATATATACTAAGAAGAAATTATGGCTTGACATGACATATATAGTGAAAGTCTTCTGCTTTTAAATTAAAGCACAGCATAAAATTTTCCAGCATACTAGAAAAAACAATCCAACCTCTAGCTGTGTTGTATCATTGCATAAACCCGTAATTGCAGCCCTCAGGTACACTTATTTAGTGATTAATTTCCATAAGTGATCAAAGAATTTCAAATGTATGTAATTTTTTTCATTTTATTCAGTGGTGGGAAGAATGACTAGAAGGTATAGAAAATTAATTACACTTTCAGAGCAAACAAAACTTCAGCTTTGATTTTGCTGCAAAACTATGTGGTTTTAAGATCAAATCTTTCACTTTTCTCAACTTCAAGAGAAAAAATTAAAGGCAGATCCCTATTCTCTTATGTATTACTAAAATTAAAATTTCAGAATGAGTGATAAAATGATGAGGGTGGATTTTCTTCTGTTGTATAAATCTGGTTTTAAAGAAATACTCATACGACAGTTGTTTACAGTAAAGCAAGTTAGTACCTTGCTGTATTTCCTCCATGGCAAGTTTATGCCAAAGCTTCCTTTATTCCTATATTTTGCCCAAGGGCAGAAAGCGGTGATGAATTTTGCTGCTCTTGGCATACCCAGAAAGGCTTTCATCACTTTTTCTCTTTCTCAGACCTTGTCTTGAGCATGTCAGCTTTCTTCCTTCATCTCCTTTCACACCACTTCCTATTCACATGTGATCCACCCTCCCTTGTCTAGTTCTCGTCAAGCATAACGTGGCCAGCTGGTTTTATCTGTGCGGCAAACAATGGTACCAGACTCCACTAAATGATATTCTGCCAATGCCAGCCATGGTTCCCTGTGTCCTTAGCTGGTTTCAAGTTGTGGCCCACCTTTCTTCCCATATTTAAATCCTGTGTTTATTGGGGATTAAGATCTGTGAATGAGTGGTGATGGGGGGGGTGGAAGGAGGAGGAGGGCATTCTGAGTCCAAAGGGAATCAACATTGTCTCTTTGAAAATGTCCGTGTCTGTTTCCCAGACTGACCATCTGGGACACTGCATGGCACTAAATCAACTACAAAGACAAAAAGGGGAACAGGAAAAAGTAATTAAATAAGAAAAAGGAAAAAATTTCTCAGAAGCTGCTATCCAATGAACTTCATTAAGGAGTAAAAGTGGTGCATATACATTTCAGAATAATGAAAAAGAGTAACACTAACAGAGCTGCACTTCCAGCTGTAAACAAATATCCATTTAACTGTGAATGTGCCCCATCTTTCCTTTCTAATTGCTTCTCTATTTTAAAGCACTTTCCAATGGCGATAATGTCAAGAAGAGATATGCCTACAAAGAGAAGGTAGTGAAAACACAGCAGGTTTAATATGTCTTCCTGAACCCCTGGCAAACGCTAACACTGGGGATGTATTGGGTCATCATTTGAGAACATCAGTGTTTTCTGGTCTGATATTTGTCAGAGAACAATGACAGATTCACAGGATGGGTTAGCTGAGGCACTCAGCTTTCAATCCATATGGAATTAGGGGTTCTGCATTTGGAAACCAGCTGGGGGATGTATGTGATTCTTCAAGTGGCAATAAAATCCTTCAATTTTCATCACTAATCCAAGAGGATATTCTACAGCAACTTCTGAAGTTAAACACCTTATATCTGCAGGAACTAACTTGTTTACTCCCATGAGTTTCAAAGGAATGTTGCTGATGAGCTGTCTAATCTACTGAAGGGGCAATGTAATACATCTTCAGTCATTAGGGAAGAATCAGAGAGTGTGGGGGAAAGCAGACAGTGTTGTACCAGTATACAAAATAGGTTTTAAAGTCTTGCATGAAATGGTAAGGAACCTCAGGCGGAGTCTATCAGTAATTAATTTCCATTTTGTGTAATTTCTGAAGGCAATAAAATAATTCCATGGAAAGTAGGTATTGTCTGGCAAACCTGAAATTTTGGATGAGAGTGCAAAAAAGTTGCAGAAATAAGCTCTAATGTTTGCTTGGTTGCTAAAACAAACTCTAATGTATACACAAGATAATGTCATGTTAAATGATATTTATCAAAACAAAGAAATATGCCAAATCAATGTAGTACATTAGCTATATCAAAAAGAAATAAATTGATAAATTTCGAAAATTGCTTCCAATATTTAGGTATTTGTCATTCTTTCTATGGAAGAAAAAGCAAAAAAGGTCACTTTTTAATTTGTATTATCTCACCAAAGAGAGATTGCTGTAATCAAGCAATTCCCTGCAACTGCTCTTTCTTATTCTTTTTAATAGATTTATCAAGATGCAGATGTAGATTAGTTAGGGTTTTGGTATCTTCACAGTTGTACAGACAGGCTGATTCCAGAGACTCGTTACTTTGATTATGAGGACCACTGTAATTCCCAGATGACATGAGGGAAATGACTGGTTCATAACATATTTTTCCCCTGGGCTGAGCTTCTTTAGAAATAACACTTTTCCCACAGATTATGCATCCCTCCCAGCCTTGTTCAAGCTCTTCTAGAGCCCTTCTCTCTGAAAATTTTCCAGCTGAATTTCCCTCAGCAGACCCTGCCTATGAAGTTCTAGAAGAGGCTTTATCAGTGGATACCGCTGAAAATTATCTGTCATGAACAGTGTATGCTGCAACACAGCAAAAGCACCAAGGAGCAAGGTATTTTGTTAGGGAAGTCTGGAGTGAATGCTGCAGGACTGAGGGATTGTTGGCATGTGATGAAGCAAGGCAATGCAGAGGCTCAGGGTGCAGACACAGCCTTCAGACGCAGGAGCAGAGGAGGCTGGTCTGGGGAGAGCAGGAGGAATATTTCAAGGGTAGACTCACCTTGACCAAAATAGGCATGGGCTCAGTGGCTGATAATTGTCAGTTCCTTGTAGATTTTTGTCTTTGCTTAGAACAACAGTGGACATCTTGGATGTATGTTTTTTAATAGATCTAGGTTTTTAAATGGATATTTTTAGAGTTTATAAAGCATCATCTGAGGTAAAAGCCTTTGCATTACACTTCTTTGCCTCCATCTCTTCTCTGCCACTCTTTCAGTGAACAAGAGTGTCTGGGTTTCAGTGGCTGGGTTTCATCCACTCCTTGTTGATGGAAAATCCTTCTCTGGCTATACCACTTATGCTCGACATTAAAATTAGAACCTCTCTTCATCTCTGTTTCAGTTTCCACAGCATCCTTCTGTACTTTTCACCATGTCTGCTGCGTTTCATTCTAACATTTTTACATCTTTTCTGTCATGTTTTACTAAAATTGATCAAAAGAAGAGGAACTCATCATTTAAACCTAAATCCATCTTTCAAATCTTTGATTCATAAGATGGTTTTCAAAATTAGACACAGTAAACTCATCTATCCTCAAGTGTCAGCCGGAATAATCAGACCAATTTTAATAAACTGTTGGCATCAGCAATGTGCCTGCAGGGTTTGAAAGAAAAGCATTCTCCACACAAAATTAGTGGGTTCGCAGCAAAGCAAGCTTGCAGGATTTTGTACCAGTCTGAGACTACAGCCGTGTCGCAGAGTGTGGAGTGAAGAATAAATGGCCTGGGGGGGAAGAAGGCCACCTCTGAGTAGGAACTGTTTAGAAAGCTCAGTCAGAGAAGAGACAACTTGCTTCCTCCCCAGTTAAGTCAATGTGTATCCCACCAGCATTTCCCAGGTGTGGAGGGCAGGACAGATCACGTCAGGTATGCCAGCTGGCTGGCAGGCTTCCCCGCAGACAAATGCACACCTGGATAATAGGAAAGTGCTTCCCTGTACCAAAACAGAATTTTGAGTTTGTGCATTAAGGAACAGACAGTACAATTTTGAGGATCTTGTTTCACTTTCAGGATTTTTGTATAATTATAGCCACTACACTGACCAATGCTCCTCACAAGATTTTGACAGAAAGGTATTCTTGGTAAAAATACTAAGTACTTTAGTGTTTTGGCTCCTGTATCTGATATTTGTGATGCGTCATTATTTGGGAAAATTCAGATTTGAACATACCACTGAGTTAAATACTTTTCTTAGAGACAAATGGTAGATATATCTGTCCTTGCTGTTTTAAATTGTGAGTTCACGTTGTACTAATTTTGATTCCCAAATGACTTTTCAACAATTTAACATGTTGCCCCTACTGACTTATTCCAATCAAAGGTAAGAAACTTCATCTTCACCCCTTGAGCATGCGGGAAATAATTTAAATGTTTTTTGTGTTTTTTTTTTTTAATTCCAAATGTCAAGTGTTTGTGATGGCAACATTCTTTTTGAACAAGAATCTTTGCTGACAAAGAAGAAATAATACAATATGCTTGAAAGCAAAATACAGCATTGGCCTGTGTTTTTCTCTTTCGTAACTTTGTTAAGGTAACTGAAGGTACTTAAGGACTATAGTACAAGGATAGAGTTCTCCTATTGAGCAAGCAACTTTCCTAAATGGAACACAAATATAAACACCATGCTGAGTCAGGTTGGAGAAGTGCCATACTAACTTATTTCTGAGTATTTCATAACCCTTACCTGTTTCTCTTTCCTTCTGAGCATCTACATGAATGCTGGACTTGTGTTATGAAACTGCAGATGGGGGAAACTTACATGCGAGAACCCTGGAGCAGAAAAAGTGAAGTTAACATAAACTGTTGTATTTTTAAGAACAAAAGAGAAACAAAAACTCAAACCCAAACCAAATAAACAAAAATCCCAAACAAAAAAACACCAAAATGAAACACCCCCAAAAACCCAAACAAGCAAACAAAAAACCCAAACCAACCAAGAAAACCACCACAAAATCACAAAAGGATTTTTCTGCTTTACAGTTTTAGCAGCAAAACCCACTGCTGCTTACTGCACTTGGAAGAACTTCAGAAGTGTAAAACATAGAGATTCATGAGTTTGTTTTTCATGAGGTATTCAAACATCTCAATTAACACCAGATGATCAAGCACCATTGAAACAGAGCTATAACCAAAATGACAAGACTTTAAATTGATTATAAAGAAATGGATATTTCTATATTTCTTTTAGGTAACGTTCATCCCTTGCAACAAAATGATTGAAAAGAGATGCTGTCCACAGCAAGAAACTGCCTGATGCAAAACTATCTCTGCCTTATGGGGTTAGCTTTTCTCCAAGCACCAGTATAGTCACCCCAGGCTCCAACAGCTCTTACCTTTTTTCTCCTATCTGTACCTTTCTTTCCCATGCCAGCAATGCACCCACAATTCATTCTGGGGTCAATCATAGAATCATAGAAACACTGAGTTGGAAGGAGCCATCAGGATCAGACTCCTGGCTCTGCACAAGACAGCCCCAAGAACCACCCTACGTGCCTGAGAGCACTGTCCAACCACTTCTTGAACTCTCTCAGGCTGGTGGCGTGACCACTTCCTTGAGGAGCTGTTCCAGTGCCCAATCACCCTCTGGGGGAAGAAATTTTTCCCGATATACAACCTAAACCTGCCCTGACTCAGTTTCATGCCATTTCCTCAGGATCTGTCACTGGTCAAGAGAGTGAAGACATCAGTGTCTGCACCTCCGCTTCCACTTTGGAGGAAGTTGTAGACTACAAGGAGGTCTCTCCTCAGTCTCGTCTTCTCCAGGCTGAACAGACCAAGTGACCTCAGCCGCTCTTCATATCGGCTTCCCCTCAAAGTCCTTCTTTGCAGCCCTTCTTTGGATGCTCTCTAACAGTTTAACATCTTTCTTATATTGCAGCGCCAAACTGCCTCCAGCACTGGAGGTGAGGCTGCCCCAGCTCAGAGCAGAGCAGGACAATCCCCTCCCTTGCCCAGCTGTGATGCTGTCCCTGGTGCCCCCCAGGACAGGGTTGGCCCTCCTGGCTGCCAGGGCACTGCTTACCCATGTACAACTTGCCACTGAGCAGAACCCCCAGGTCCCTTTCCATGGCACTGCTTTCCAAATTCTCCCTCCCAGTCTATACAGACTTCCAGTGTTGCCCCATCCCGGAGGCAGAATCTGGCGTTTTCCCTAGTTAAATTTCATATGTTTGGTAATTGGCCAGTTCTTCAATTTATTGAGATCTCTCTGCAGGTCCTCTCTGCTTCTGAGGGATTTGACAGCTCCCCCCAATTTAATGTTCATAGGCAAATTTATTAAGTAGTTCAATTAAGTTTTCTACATTTCTAAGGAGCCTGGAGTAGCCTAATTTCTTAAGTGGCCTGATTTTCTATTGCTCAAAAGCAGCATTTCTTCTAAAGAGGAGTTGGTTTCTTTGTAATTTTGTTCAACCCTATAAATGACCCCTCACCTTCTATATGGCCTCTATTTGTCAAGTTGAGCACAACTCACACAGTACCCCTTTCAGCAATGCTAAGTATTCAATTCATTTTGAGTTTCACAAATACAGTTCAGCTATGACTGACAGCTCAGTCACGGCTGGAATGTTCTTCATTTTTAATCTAAAGTTTATTTGATAACTCCCAATGCGAGAAATACTGAAACTTTATCTCAATTTCAAACAACAGTGGCAGAACTAAGTGCCCCACAAACAGTGACATAATCTCTCATTATATCACTCTTTATGAAGCACTTGGTTCTGGAGAGTGTTTGACAATCTGGACTTTTACCTATTCTCACAAAAGTACTTAATTTTTCCTGTTTTTTTGTTATAATTTTCACCCTTAGAATCTATTAATGACCATTTAAATTTGATTTTATTAAAGAAAAGAGATTTGTACTTCTACAGATTTATTGTGAGGGTATTAGATCCATCAAGGGAAAGATTCTGCCAATACTTGACTACCAAATCATCTGTGATGACATAGAGGTTTAAGAAAAAAAAACGGTTAAGGTCTAGTTTAATATTATTTTAACTGTTCTCATTAAAGTAATTTCCACTTTTAATAATTGTAATACTACTTGTCAAATATTATACGTTTTAGAACTCTGATTTTTGGCAATTATATTATAAAAATAAAAAGTACCCACAACAAATTGTAATGGGTATTGTTTTGAACTGTGTTATAGAAAGAAATAGCAAGCTAAAGAGATTGGAAATACTGTCATGTATATTTTTATTTGTAGGTCTGAATACATCCAAAAGAGTTTCCATGTTTTAATGCCTATAAAATTCCTTATACAAAAACTGTTTCTCCCTAACCCAGTACTGAAGAAAGTCAAAACTGCAAGAACAAAGCCATTATTTCTCTGTGTATTTGATATTTCATAAATTGAAACTCTAGGGCTATAAATTCAGTAGCTTTTATATAGCTTTTTTGTACACTGAAAATACATATAAACAGCAAGAAAATGTGATTTTAATTTTATGCTCTTGTGGAGACCCAATTTGTATTCTTCATTCAGAAATCTTTCTTAGTACTACTGATATGACTAAAGAGGATAGAATTAATTCCATGGAGCTACAAGTCTGTACAATTATTTAAAATAATTCTGTCTCAATAGCTTTCTTCATACATGACTTGTGATATATTCCCACACTACATCACTTAGTTTGAGTGTCCAAGGCATCTTGTATGTATCAGATAATTACTAAAGAAAGGTTTGGGTAGCTCAGTTGTTAAGCCTCTGGTGCAGGCCTCAAGAAACCTCAGGGTGGCTGCTGGACCTCCTGTGAGCTGCTGGAATAGCCAGTTGTGGTAGGATCAATATTGCCTGTTTTATTTGCTTGAAAGTAAAATGCACAGTCTGAACGAGCTCCCTTGGTCTGATTTTCAATGAGGACACACTGAGAAATAGTTTCAAAGAGAAATGACTTGCACAGTAGAAATGCTAGTATCATGAATCTGAACTGAAACCTGGAAATGCCACTGTTATTTTCACTGAAATAGGACAACACTAATTTTTGAACAGCTGTTTTGAAGTGAATATTACTCTAAATTCTGCTTGAGGCACCTTCCATATCAGGATAAGAATGCATTTGTCACAGATGTGTGCTAAGAAAAATATCAAACAGAAAAACATGATTCTCTGCTATGGCAGGCTGAGAATGATCATTTGATTGCAAAACACCTGGACAGAGTGATGCATACATGCATAGTATAAAACTGCCCAAAAGCTATTCATGGGACACAATTGGTACTGTTGCAGTTGAGATCCCAGCTCCCATGGCAGCTTATACAAGTGTTTCCTCAGAACTGGACCCCTTACTGCAGTCTTTATGGTCTGTGCCATCACTGTTCTGCAGAGAGAGAGACCAGTCTCCGTGGCATCTACTTTCATTCTGTGCAATAAATGCAAGAGGAAAACCTTCCTTGGAATAAAAAAGACCCTCTAAACTTCAATAAAGTAAATAAGCTTATAGACCAAGTCAAAGTAATACAAGATAATCTCGCTGCATTTCCTTGTCCCGATTTTCTAGAAAGCAGAGCAACACTCACCGGTTTGCAAAGCACGCCTCAGTGATTGCCACGAAGGCAGCAGGTGTCCCTTGAGCAGATGATGCACCGTCCTCTGCTGGCAAAAGAAGGCAATATAGGCTCGGCTTTTTGTGCAACAGTGTGATGGAGAGCCTGGAAACAGCTCGAACCTTGTCTCCCTGACTCTGCGTCTGCCTATAGATAATCTCATGCTGAGGTCGCCAGAGAGAGACACTTTCCATACCTAATGTGAAAGATAATACGAGTCTCAGTGGGCTGGAGGACAAAAGAGAAGTCCAAATGCAAGGATATAGAAGAATGTAATAGTTTCCAGAGTTTTGTTTCACTTCAGTGCTGATCTGGGGAGAATGCCTGGGTCTGTTAGGGGTTTGTTCGGTCTCTAGAAACTAACAACAACATCACCAATTAGAGATAATTTCAGTGGTATTTTATTTTGTTTGGGGTTTTGTTTCTTTGTTTGTTTTTACTTTTTATTATGTTTTGGTTTGTTTTGTAGGTTTTTTGGTTGCATTTGGTTTTTTGTGTTTTTTTTTTTTTTTTTAGTTAAAATCTTTTTTCCTCTGGGAATGGGACTGAGATTGGTGATATAGTTATCTCTATGCATCATGCCCTTACTAGACTGTTTGGATTATGCACTTGCATTGTTTAGAGACAGAGTGGTACATAGGGGTTTGAGACATCTAACACCTACCTCCTTGATAATGAAAAACTTGTAGTAGGCCTTGTTTTGTTGCCATGCTACACCAAGCCAAAGCATTGCCAAAATCTTCTGAGCAAGTGGGGATCTGGAATTTAGTCTTGCCACTGCATAATGGTGCGCAGATGGGTAAAGTCTTCTTTTTTGCAGTTTTTTGTCCAAAATCATGAATCATGCTCTCAGACCCCCAAGTGTTGTTTACATTTGTTCAACTGTTAAGTCACTGTGGCTTGAATTTCTCCCCTGTTGAAATTCAGCAAGAGATAAGTATTTGTTTGGGCTTATTTTGGCAGAAAATATTGTGTCTGTGTTCATGTGTTTATTGGCAAAGTACTTGTCACATGTAAGTGGATACAGTATGTTGCGTATACAGTCCTCATAGTGAAGTGTTTGGAAGGCAGCCTCATGAGCTTTTTTCTAGCAAGGAATACAAAAAAAATTGCCAAAAAAATAAAACTGTGGTATTGTTTAATATAATTTCTTATGATCATGCTTGAAGTATTCAGAATCAGTCCTATTTCAAGAAAACAATTTCAGTTGCCAGCTTCAGGAGACCCTGTATCAAGGACCGAGGATGGAGCATTCGGACATTGTGATGAGGAACAAAAGCCCAAGCAAGCATTGCACACATTGCTTCAGGATTGCATAGGGCTGTAGAATTATTATTTTTTCCTTCTGACTATAGCCACGAATCCTGATATTGGTATTGTTCAGGCTGAAAAAAAATTCTTCACTCTTGCCATCTCATAACATACTTACCTTTATTAGCTGTGGTAGAGTGATCGTGCACTTTGGTGCTCTTGGGCCACAGTCACAGATAGATTCATACAGACTTTGATACTGTTGGCTGACTTTCACCTTGCTTCAAGGCTTGCCTTGGAAATAAGGCTTAGCTGTTTCTATCCCTGAATTTGAAACACTGATTTGAAATTAATTTTATCCTGAATTATGGTGGAAAAAGAACAAACAAAAAAAGTAATATATAACACATTAAATATATGTATGTTGCAATAGATAATTAAATTATATTCTATCTGATTACACAACTTACTGTCATGTTTTCCAGAGAGTGGGTAAACTGTTCACTTCTGGATGATTTTTTCCAGTGCCCAAAGTTATTTTCTGTCACTACTACCAAGCCTCAAGTCCTAATATGATTATGCTGTTCCGAAAAATTATATTTTTCAGGTTGTTATGTAATAACAGTGGAAAAAAATGCATGTTGAAGAAAAACTCCCTCTTAATATTTAACATTTTTCAATGTCCACACTGTAGCATGTTTGAAAACACTATCTTTTTTGATTTAAAGTGTGATAAAACATATATTAGAGGTAGGATGCATGGATCACCAGAAGTTGTCATTGGGGTAAATTTAGATTAATTATAAAACTTACATTCATTTTAGAATTTATAGCTATGTTTGATTAGGAAATCAATTCTATGTAATGAACAGCACAAGCTGAAATGACTCACCAACACTGCAGATTCAAATAACATAAGCTCCTTTACAGACACAAAATCCTTTAGATGAGAAATTTCATAAACCAGTTACAGGATTCTGGAAGAATTTAACATTCATGAAGCTTGGACACAAGGCTGGATACAAATTATTCAGCCATGCTATGTATCAAAGCTGTTCCAAAATTGCTGAAGCCCACTGAGACACTGTACAAGGGCCTTGGACCAGTGAGAACAAATTCCTTTTCATATAGCTCAATGTTGTCCACTCTTGGGTATCTACTTTCTAGTCTGTCACCCCATACTTACTTCATGGACTTCAGAGAAGTAAATACCATTAAGGCATCATTTATCACCTATCAGAATAGTTATAGCAAAAGAATAAATAACAAAATCATGCATTGTCTGCAAGAGTGCTTTTTTCCATCTTCCTATATTTTCAAATCAGGAAACATGAACTATTTTAAACAGAGATGTGTGCTATGCATGCTAATTGGTTGGTTCCACTTAGAGAAATATGGTTATACTGTCTAAAATTTGAAGGGAACAGAAAAAAAATGTAGGCCTCTAGAAGTCAGAGAACTAAGGATCTTCCTGCAACACAATCCCTTTAATTGAGGGGATACAGATACAACATGTCTTCAAAAAGCAGTATGAATGGATCCTTCTGCTTAATATCTGATAATTCACCCTCACAAAAATATTTCTGGTTTTTGCTCTCTGTTTTTTTTTTTTTTATTTCTGAAGAAAGTTTCCTTCCCTCTCTCCTTTGACACAAGAAAACATTTTGTCAGTGAATCAGAGAAATGGAAGCAAAATTGCCCTGATCTTGCTTTGCAATTTATTGTCCCTCCTGCTTGTTTCTGACAAATGGTTACCCTACAGAACAAATTATTTCTTCTGTGGTGTTCTGACTCTTGAAGTCAAAGAAAAGCAGCTGAGGAAAGGTCATTCAGCAGCATGTCTCCTTTTCTTTAAAATGTGATTCTTTTTTACATCTTAAATATTGGTCTCAAATTCACATCTGTAAACGATATTGCAAAAGGTCAGAGGAAACCAAACTTAGATATGCCGTGCCATTCTGTCTCTATTTTCTCTGTGATATATGTACGTATATCACAAGAAAATATATCATAGGACATAAATTATCCTGAAATAGCTTTTTCATAATATTTAATAAATCTTATGAAGACCTATTGCTTACATTACTGCTGCCTTCAACCCTGATTCACTTCTTGTTTTTCTTAGTTCAAACCCTCTGTTGACATCCCAGACATGTAATGGTCTCCCAACAGAATCCGCTGGTTACTTACTCTAGCTGGGTGTATACATGGTATGTACATCAACCATGTTCACCATGGTGGGAAAAATAGTCCTTTTGATCTGATCCCTACTTTTCTCTCAGTTTCAAATGAAAAAGTTTGCTAAGACAGAAGACGCTTTCAGTGTCTGTGAAGAAGGCTCGACGTTGTACTCTGAGCCTGCGTTACCCAGTCTCTCTCAATAGCCTCTGGGGTTACAGGGGCTGAGCAAATTGTCCACTTCCAGATAGCCCTCATCTAACCCACATAGAAAATATGTGACAACCCTCTGAAACTACAGCAGGTGAGTACCATGTGCATATGCACTCTCTTTTTGCTTAGAAATTTTTCAGTTTGGTGTCCAACTGAGTTTCCTGGAAAGTACCAAGTTTTTTAAATGTGTCCCAAATTTTCCATCTCTTATTCTGTGGTTTACCCTTTCTCTCTTGCTTCCTCACTCTAGCTGCATCTCTGCAGATCACACTTGACCTTGCCAGAGAGCCATGCCAAACATTTTTAAAAGTGTGTGGCTGACCAGGAGGAAGCAAGCACTGGCCCTAGTATACATCAAGAAACGAACAGAAGAAGAAAATCAAAATTATAAGCCAATAGATTTTGCAAATATGAAATTACTGGAATGCTCTCTTGTAGGAATATGCTCCTGTTATCACTAAAGATGAGGGAAATTTTGCAGATCCCAGTTTCCATAAAACTGAAACAAAAATAGAAAATGCAGATCAAAGTAGTGCAATTTTTCAGCATGCTGAGACTAGATCCTAGAGGAGATCCTGAGCAGGTCCCAAGATTTGTGGTATCCTTCTTTGACTGTTACTTTTTTTAAAAGGAGTTTTGCATTAGATTGTAGGACTGGCTTATGAGCTGGTACTGACTTATGTGTGTTTTTAAGCAGATCACATATATTCCAGGAAAATCAAAATTATCAAAATATGGGGCAATGTCTGATGGGATTAAATTGTTTGGGAATCTGAAAAACCCAAGTTCAATTTTGTATTTTCCATATTTTTGAGCCGGTTTTTGAAGAAGCTCACAACTGTCTTTCAGATTCGCTGTCAGTGTGAAAAATGACAAAACTATGCTGCCAGCTAGCACTTCACAATGTATGGCTGAAGTGCCTGTGTCCAGTTTTATTTTGAAACAGAAGGTGATAAACATCTGGAAAGGAGATATGGTGGAAGTTTTTGTCACCATGTCAGTGACAAAATGCTTCTGCTAAAGGAGTTGCATCTAAATAGGTGGTGATGAAAGAGGAATGGGGGTAGAAGAGGAGTCTGAAAGAAAGCCTTAGCTTTTGCCTTGGTGGCTCACTTGTGCCCTATGCATTAATATCAAGTGCCCTTCTATGCGTCCTTCCAGTCAAACCAGATCTGGGTGGGCAGAGTTCTTCTTCCACTGGGGAGACAATGTAGCCTCTTAAAGCTTTTTATGAGACTTAATATTCTGTTTCCCCTTAGTAAGTGGCATTTTTTTATTTCCTCCTGTATAGCCAGAACACACCCAGTCTTTAAATCTGTCTCATTCACCTTTGAAAATTTATAGGGGCTTTCAGGAGGGCTTGCCCGAATG